TACACAGTGAAATTCGATAAACCGGATCTATCGGTTCCACTAAAAATATCCGGTTTATCAGGATATCCGGTATAGCGAATATATTAAAAATCTATTATACTGAATTTTTTTGAAAAATTCATGCTAATAAAATTAATACACATTATATTTTAATTTTTTATCTTAGCTTTTAGTCATAGAGGTCATGAAAATAAATATAAAATATTTTAATTGAATATATAAGTAATATATAACTTTGGCCGGAATTAAGATTTTTATAATTCTGGCCAAAATTAAGATTTACCGCATCACGTTACTTGAATTTTATTGGTTAATGATCACGTGACCCGGTTTATCGAATCATTTTTACTATAGCTGGTTAGAAAATTGATCCGTTTTATCGAATATCGAGCTTTTACTAGTAAACTCCGGTATATCGAAACTATTTTAATATACGTGATTTGGTTCCAGCAAAAAAATCCGGTTTAGGCCCAAATCCGGTTTATCGAAGATCCGGTTTATCGAATTTCACTGTGTAATTAGTATTATCGTCCATTTTCAATTAAAAATCTTGAAGATTCAAAAGAAAAAACTCATGAATATCATCACTGATGACAATATATTGATCAATTTTAAACTTTAACACTCTTTATTATAATTGTTAAACGAATTAGAAATAAAATGAAGTTTAATTATTCAAACTATATAACAATAAAGCCTTACAAATTACAATAATAATTGAACCTTACTGGAAGATTAATTTCCATAAAACAAAACTATGACAGATGGTGACAGATATGGGATAGGGGCTTGGACCTGGCAGTCCTTCGCCCCTTAAGTGAAACCTGGTGTGCCCAAAGCGCGCTCTGAAAGGACTTTCTGATATGGGTCAACTCCGCACAGCAGGAAGGTAGGCCATGCGAGGGCTGCGAGGCCCTCAGGCCGAGGTGAGTTGAGCAGGACCCTACCCACGTCCAGCCTGTCTGATTAAAATTCTTAACTCTTTAGTGCTAATACCAAATTGAATAAACTCAATCTGATTTTGATCTGTTACTTCAGTAGTATGTGTACAAAGAATTTTATTTTTTCTTTAACAGAGTCAGGGTATCAAAATACTTATATTGTAAATTACAAATAAATATAATAGAAACTAGATAAATATTCAACAAGTATAATGTACATATAATTATTGCATCTCAAATATTCCACCCTTGTTTGTATTAATGATATCAGATTTTTATTTATTTAATAAAAAATATATAATTTCTTGATAATTCAATAACAAATAAATAAATATTTATTTAAACAAATCTATATAAAAGAATGTTCCTATCTGATATTTTTAAATATCTACCAAACAATTAATCGATTTCCTTTATATAATTATCCGAGTTAATCTTTAAACCATCATAACTTTTCACTTCAATATTATATAACCTAAATTTATTCACTTCACCTTTAAATGAAATCAATTCATTAGCTAAAAAATGAGGTTCCTTAATAGCTAAATATTTAACCCTTTTCTTATTCATTATATATTTTTTTATAGAAGGTAAAATAGCTTGACCTTTACTGTTATTAATTAATAATTTTTCAATAAAAGTATCTTGAGAATTTTTTAGAAACACTTCTAAATCACTTACTTTAATGTAGTAAAAATTCAAACATAAATATTCTAATTTAGGAGGAAGGATTTGTCCTAATTTTTGCAATATTATTGAACAATATTCAATTCCATTACTACTATTCTCTAAATTGATTGAAAGATAATTAAGATTTTGCTTAATATTTTTAATTAAATTGAATAATTGATAAATAATCTGAATTTCATATCCATGATTAAAATCAAGAAACTTGATATTTTTACAATATTTTGTAATTAATTCTAATAATCGTTGTTTTAATGATGATTCAATAATATTAACTCCAAAATTTTCTAAATAATCACCAGATTTTTGTAATAATATTTCTAATGATTCATCAATGTTTGATGATTCACTTATGAATAAAGATTTCAATTTAAATGGTTTAGTCAAATTAATAATTTGTTGAGTAAAACTAGTATTTAAAGAATAACAATAATAAATATGAACAGATTCCAAAACATTTAATCGTTCAAATACTTTTTTTAGATTGTTAATAACTTTAATAAAATCCACGCCATAGAAAATGATTGTATTTAAAGTATTTGAATAATTATAATCTTTTGATAATAATAATGGTTGAAGCAAAGGAAAACCATAATAATTTAAAGAAATTTTTTTAAGATTTTGTTGTAAATTAATTATCTGTGATATACTTGATATACATTCATCACTATTGTAAATAGAAAGACTATCAATACAAAGGTTTAAATTTCTAATATTGTAAATGAAATTTGTATTTTTTAAAATTAACTTAAGAATATTATCAAAACATGCATGATAATAGATTTCAATTTCAAGAGTATGTAAATTTACTTCATTTTCAATAAAAGTTTCAAATAGTGATACACAAATATCACCCAAATTTTCAAAATCAATTACTAGTCTATTTTTACTAATAGAAGATTCAAACCACACCCTAGTAGTGAAAATAAACTTATTTATATTCAAATATTTTAAAAACCTGGAATAATTGAACAGCATATTCGAAGGTAATGAATTATTAATAATTTTATATTCATTTAATTTTGTTTTAAAATCATCATTTAAATTATGTAAGTAATTTTCAATAAAATTATAATTTTTTGTAGGAATTGAAAATGGATCTTTCCATAATAATGGAATCGCTAAACGACACCATAATTTGTTAACTAGAATGCATGAATATAAAGTTGAATAATCATTTTGAAAATATTTTATAATTTCATATATTAATTCAGGTAAATCTCCTGAAAATATTTTTGAGCATGACATTTTTGTTAACTGAAAGTGAAAAGGGGAGGTATTGAATTCTTATTATTATGCCAAACTGGGTAAAATTATATTATCGATTTCGGAGTAATGATTCCGATATTGTCGCACAATTCAGTCAATTAATTGCGTGTAACGTCACTAACGTAAGTGTAAAAATTAGGTGTAAGGATGATCATCATCATTCACCTAATTCTGGCCAAAATTATAATTTGGTCAGAATTTAAAAACACTAATAAATTTATCAACCTTTTTTCTTAAAAAAAAAAAATTATGATTATTGAATCAAACTTTAGTCATAACCTTTTAAGAAAATCTTAATCTGCTTATATTACTATTATAATAATTGGTATCGTCCATTTTCAATTAAAAATCTTGAAGATTCAAAAAAAACTCATGAATATCACCACTGATGACAATATATTGACCAATTTCAAACTTTAACACTCTTTAATCTTTATTATCGAATTAGAAATGAAATAAAGTTTAATTTTTCAAACTATATATCAATAAAGCCTATCAATAAAGCTTATAATGTTAGAGTAATAACTGAACCTTACTGGAAGACTAATTTTTCTAAAACAAAACTATGACAGTGGTGACAGATATGGGGGATAGGCCGATAGGGGCTTGAACCTGGCGGCTGGAGGTTCTTCACCTCTTAAGGGAAACCTGGTGTGCCCAAAGCGCGCTCTGAAAGCCTTTATGATATGGGTCAACTCCGCGCAGCAGGAAGGTAGGCCATGCGAGGGCTGCGAGGCCCTCAGGCCGAGGTGAATTGGGTAGGACCCCACCCACGTCCAGCCTGTCTGATTAAAATTCTTAATTCTTTAGTAATACCTTATTGAATGAACTCAATCTGACTTTTGGCCTGTTACTTAGTATGTGTACAAAGAATTTTATTTTTTCTTTAACAGAGTATCAAAATACTTATATTGCAAATTACAAATAAAGTATAATGGAAACTAGACAAATATTCAACAAGTATAATATACGTATAATTTATCCAAAAATTATGACTCAGTTCCTTGAAAGGAAGTTTGATGCGGGAAGGCTAGAAAGAGGGAGTAAACAAACAGTTTCGAAGGAGAAGTGGGTAAAAATATTTCATACTTGTTTATATTGATGATATCAGATTTTTATTTATTTGATAAAAATAAGTAAATAAACAACTTTATATAAAAGTATGTTCCTATCTGATATTTTTAAACTACTACCAAACAATTAATTGATTTCCTTTATATAATTATGCGAGTCAATCATTAAACCATCATAACTTTGCACTTCAATATCACTCAGTTTTTCAGAAACAGGAGGTTCTAAAGAAGAAATAGCAGGATCAAACCACTTCTCTGTAGAGAAAATAAACTCATCCATATTCAAATATTTTAAAACCCTGGGATAATTGAACAGCATACTCGAAGGTAATGAATTACTAAGAATTTTATGTTCAATATTTTGTTTTATTTAAGTAAATTTCAATAAAATTATAATTTTCGGCAGAAGTTGAAAATGAATTTTCCCATAATAATGGAATCGCTAAGCGACACCATAATCTGTTGGCTAAAATACATGAATGTAAAGTTGAAAAATCGTTCTTAAAATATTTTATGACTTCAGATATTATTTCAGGTAATCTCCTGAAAATATTTTCGAAATTGACATATTGTAATTGAAAAAATGAAAAGGGAGGTATCGGATTTTTTTTTTTTATTGCGCAAATTATATTAATGATATTGTCGCACAATCAATTGAGTGTAACATTCAGGCGCAGTTTAACAGTTAGCTAGAATCACATAATGCCGACTGACGTTATCCAAAAAAAGGCAGGAACTACGCGCAATTTGCTAATTCTGTACACTTTTATTTTTAATCGATCAACGCCTCAATTCACTTAGAATTATAGAAACTGTATAAAGTCCCCTTTATTCCTTCCTAGAACCGAATTGTTTATACTGTAGGATAAATTACAAATTATAATAAAAAATTAGACTTTGTTTGCTTTTTATCTAATAAGTTTAAATATGATATATCGAATCACATCACAATTTTTAGGATAAAAATTCGCATTTGTTCAATTATTTTAATTATGTTGGAATTTTGCATCGAGAAATTGTCATGAAGTAATAATATTTCTTAATTATATTATTTGTAATTTTATTTATATTTTTCTGTTATAGAAAAACTCCTATCTGCTATATCTGATATTTTTGGATTACTACTAAATAATCATACTGGGCATATTATTTTGGAATTTAATATTTACATTTCTAATATTTATTTGAAAGACAGAAATTCTGGCTTTTTAACGAATATTTTTAAGTAAAAAAAATGATCTGACATATATATACTTTATCTTAGTCACATGTTGCTTTTTTTACAAAAGCAAATATCATAGATCCAGAAAATGATAATTTAACTAAAAGAGTAAATCCCACAACAAAAACCACAGCAACAACAACGGAGTAGTGTTCCAATCCGCGGGTAATTCCATCCGTTTATCCGTATCTTTGGATGGCGGATACTATGTTTGATCCGGATATCCGATGGATCCGAGGATTATAATTCTGACGGATATCCGTATCCGCAGATCACGCTATATCTTTTTAGATGACAGATAGACGGATTGTAACTCTACAATGGAGAACTAGCACTTTCATAAATTCCTAAAAACACATTTAATTCATTGTCATTATAATAATAAAATATGGCCTAAATCTCTTAAGTCGATTTGTTAAACGTATACAAGTAATTTAAGTAGCCCAAGCCAAATTATATCAAGTAATTTGCCATATTATTCGTTGAAAGTAATAAAAAGCGTTATAATTACCTTGATGTTATATTTTACAGGACGTATTACATTTTTGTAAATTCATATATAATAAAACTAGGAACCGTTATCAAGTCCAAAGCGCAGTTATCATTGCGCATCATCACGTACCGGACGGACAACATACGAATAATATATATAGTCCTTCGTTACACTTCGGAATAACAAATTGAATAAATCGAAATATATTATATTAAATGGGCACTTAGTAACTAATACCGTATTCAAATATTGTAATCCATTGTAAATAGCGTAAAATAAAAATAAAAAAATAACAATACTTGCGTAACACAATTGTAAGTATTTACTGTACGATTTTTGAAAACCAGTCGTGCGAAACTCCAACGTACTTATTTTGTATTATACTATATATTATTGAGCCATTAGAGTACGTGCATAACTGATTTTATAAATGAATAAGTTTGGGTAGAAGTACCTTACTATGTCCGAAATAAATACTGCGGAATACTTTTATGCGTAATTTAATAACCAATAACTGTATCACAATTAAGTACTTTGTATGGAAATAAACATGATGACCTGAATCTGAGTTTGATATTCGATGCATTTGATAGATCCAGATGTAAATATTGGTAATATAAATGAACCATATGGCTCATAAGTCATTAAAAAAGTTTTAAAAGTTTGATACTATTATGTAATATGAGCCATAGTTATTTCTAAATATAGATATATTAGCCATTAATTACATCAGTTGAGTAGATTAATAGCAATATTCATAATAGACTAATTTTGACTCATCATGTGATGAGTAAAAGGGGATAAAATCAGATCACGCATTTTCTGGGACTCGCCTCTCTCTATTCTTAGGACTTCGTTATTTTCTTTGGGACTTTTTACTTCCCCTTTTCGGACGTCTCTCTTTTCTTTAGGAGAACTTATTAAATTCCCATGCAACTCTCGAACTTTTTATTTTTAAATTAAAAAAAAAATTTCTTTTTTCCCAATTTTTTTTGTAATCTTTTCGCGTAGTACCTTTCGTATGCTTCCAAAAGAAAGGCCTAGAACGAATAATAGCAAAAAGAAGAGAACAAAGAAGGGAACCACTAAGTCAGCATGATAAGAATGATAAGTTATGGTTCAGTGGCGGAGCTGTACTGATGGTGCTTAAAGTTGACCGTAGACACTCCCACTTGTATTCTTAACGAAATTTTTTATTATCCCTGATATTAGGTGAGTTATTGTGTTTTGAGCTTTAATTACAATGAAGGCTTTTTTACGATTTAGTTCATGGGTCTGCTCACGTATGTATATGTCTAAGGTTTTCCAAATATATTTATTTGTCGGGATTCTCTGTGAGTCTAGATGAAATCTGGTATATATGCCTGAGTAAGCGTGGATGAGCGTTCTGATAATAGCCTAGTAATTCAATAACTCATTTATGTGAGTGATCATAGGATAACCTTTTTATTTCTATTTATAGATCATTATTGATGGTTCATCTTCCCTGTCTTAAAGGATACTGTAGACCGTCATGGATGAAGTTGGTACAAGCGATGAAGCTATACCACATAATTTACTTTCTTCCCTTCCTTTTTGGGCTGCTTCAGCAGTTTACATTTCACAGCTAGAACGTCTTACAGGCCAACGTATACAAGACTTGAGCTTCTCTCTTTTTCACTAGGACTTCAGTTTGGGTTGGTAAGTATCATTTTATGTTCTTACAAGAGAAAGGAATTCATGTGTACATGGCTCTGTTTGCTAGGCAAAATTATATTTTGCTAATGACCAGCTGTAGTCTGAGAGAAACTGAGGTTCTATAGTTGATTTATGATGAACATTGTGGCAATGTTCAGTGAAGATATTTCATATATTTATTATATTTAGATTTTAATTTATTTTATACTATAAGTGATTAATGTGATTTATTTGTTAGATTTATTTAATAGTATTTAGTGAAGTTTGTATTTGTTATTTGTATATAATGTTTTAGTGTATATAAATTCACAACTATAGCTCGTGACTGTAGGAGGTACCTCTATGCACCTTGCTCTCTTGCATGATAGTACTTTCTCATAGGGTTTATATGTTTGCCATCATACTAATCCTTTTATATTTTTTTAGTATTATCAACCAAAAATTTGCAAATATTCAAATATATAAGTTTAGTGGATTAGGACAATTAATGATGTATGTAAATTTCAATAAAGTTAATAGATTTTCCCATAATAATGAAATCATTAAGCTACATTAGCTAAAATACATGAGTATAAAGTTGAAAAAATCATTCCAAAGAAATTTTAAATGTTAATTCGAATAAATCTCCTAAACATGATATACTGTATACTGTAATAAAGAGGGAAAAAGAGTATTATATTTCAACTATGATATCCATTAGATAAATTATATTAATTTTCATAATCGTAATACATTGTTGTCGTCGCACACTCTGTGTCGTGGTATAAGTTATTATGTGTCCCACGATTGTACATACCAGTAATTATCCGGTATTTTATAATTAATGATCATTATGTATCAGGCAAACAAGCACTCGGACTGAATAATTATTAATTATCATCACAGGAAGGTGATGGCCGCCCAGTCAACATTATAATTGGTCAAAGTTAAATGTCTTATAATACGTTCTACTACATTGAATCAAACTTTTCATTTTTTTTAAAAAAACATAAGAAAAACTTCTTATAGTCATAACTAGCGTGGAATTAAGTATCAAAATTGGCACATTCGTAAATGTGACTTGAAATGTAAATTCGTTTTTTATTATACAATCTTGTGACTAGGCGTAGATCACTACTATATCACGAGAATAATTGAATAGTCTGTAGCTGTTTATTTTCTTCTTTATAATATATATAATAAGAATAAAAATAGTTTATTTATAGAATTATAAATTTTTACAGAAACTTTAATATTAATCCAATCTTTTTATAAAGTTTAATAAGTTTAATCTACTACTTATAACCAAATCATCATATTTTTGAATTTTAATATTATACAACTCAAATTCCTTCACTTCATCTTTTAATGAAAACAAATCTTTGTATTCAAAGTAATATTTGTCAGAGAAACATGTATATTTACTATAAATAGCATCACTAATAGCCAAATATTTGACTCTTTTCTCTTTCATAATATATTTTTTTATATAAGGTAAAATTTCATGAACTCCATAATTATTGATTAATAATTTGTTAATAAAAATATTTTGAGAATTCTTTAAGAATATTTCAAAATCGGTTATATCAACATTAAGAGTCAAACTTAAATAATCTAATTCAAGAGGAAGTATTTGACCCAAATTTCGTAATATAATTGAACCACTTTTATAATAACTTGTAGAAATTGGACCGACGTTAATAGAAAGATAATTAATATTTTGTTTTATATCTTCAATTAAATTCAATGCTGAATAAGTAACTTGATCTTCAAATTCAAATATATCAAGAAATTTGATATTTTTACAATATTTTGAAATTAATTCTAATAATTGTTGTCTAAATAATGTTAATGATAGACCATAACCAACTCCAAATCCAAATCCAAAATTCTCTAAATAATTACCATAATTTTGTAATAATAATTGTAATGACTCAATTTGTGATACCTCATTTATAAATAAAGATTTTAATTTTAAAGGTTTAGTTAAATTAATAATTTGTTGAGTAAAACTGGTATTTAAAGAAGAACAATAAATTATATGAACAGATTCTAAAACATTTAATTGTTCAAATATTTTATCTAAATTGTTTATATCATTAAAATTGATGGAATATAATACGATTGTATTTAAAGTATTTGAACAATTATAATCCTTTGATAACAATAATGATTGATATAAAGGAAATCTCTTATTATGACCTAATACCAATTTTTTAAGAATTTGATGTGAATTAATTATTTGTGATATATGATTTTTAATTGACGTATGTTTACTATTATCTTCAAATGAGGAATTCATAATATAAAGTCTTAAATTACTAACATTATAAATAAAATTTGGTTTTTGTAATATTAATTCAAGAAAATCGTCAAGATAAGAATTATGAATAAGATGATCGGTGACCTCAATATCAAGTGTATGTAATTTTACTTCATTTTCAATAAATATTTTAAATAATGATATACTAATTAAACTTCTTAAATTAGATATTGCTGAGTCTCGTTTAAAAATTCTATTTCTTATAAGAACATTTTCAAACCATCTTTCAATAGTATGAATTAATTCCCGTGTACTCAAATATTTTAAAAAACCAGGATAATTAAAAAGAGTATTTGAAGAAGAAAATAAATTATCAATAATTTTATATTCATTTAATTTTGATTTTAAATCATCATTTAAATTATTTAAGTAAATTTCGATAAATTTACAATTTCTGGTAGGAATTGAAAATGGATTTTCCCATAATAATGGAATCGCTAAACGACACCACAATCTGTTGACTAAAATACATGAATGTAAAGTTGAAAAATCGTTTTTAAAATATTTTATGACTTCAGATGTTATTTCAGGTAAATCTCCTGAAAATATTTTTAAACGAGACATATTATAAACAAGGGGAGAAAAAGATATGTATTTGTGTATTTGTGTATATGTATAGGTAATAAAAAAAAAAATTAAAAATGTTAAATGGTTAATTCTATAAATTAAAATGTTTAAATAATTAAATTAGAATAAATAATTGTCAACCAGACAAATTTATATTTAATTCTTCGGAATAGCGGTTTCCGACTTAGTTGTACAATTCGCGCCGTGTAACATTTTCTATAATTAGATGCAATAAAAAGAATAAAAAGATATGGACATTATGTCAATCCGTGGATCGCCGATCTGCAAAATGCGTGTGCTAATTTTAGATTGCATTCCGCAGATCGGCGGTCCGCGGATCGCGGATATGCAAATACACGTAATAATAATTATTCGGCACGAAGTGCCGAATAACTGTTAACTTTGTTAACTTGTTAACTTATGTGGCGCGATCAAATTCCCCAACGTAACCATCGGGCACGTGAATCATGTGATTTGACTGTGGTTAGTGCGACTGTGATAGTCATCAGCCAGTCCTTAAACAACTAACTTCAACGTCAATGTTAACTCTAAAGATATTTTTCAGCCCAAACCAGATTTTAATTTATAAGTAAAACATCAATTTGAATTAAGATTAATAAGAAATTAAGTTATTCTTTTATTAAAATAAAAAATTTGTATCTAAAAACTAAATAAAATAATTTACAATCTATATAATAAATATTCCATGTTAGTAATATATAATTCACTTTTTTTTAAATTTTTCAACATTTTCAACTAATTTATTAATAGGACTAAATGATTTCTTTACTGCTTTATGATATTACCGACTAGTTTTTGTACTTTAGAGAGAATATGTTTTCCTTGTAACATTAATTAGATTGTAAAAATAACTTAGTTGAAATTTTGTTTGTTGAACTGATATTATTGTTTACTTTGTGATTTTCAAGATATTAGACTAGCAATTTTTATTTCTACAGGGTTTCATATTTACTGCAAGATTTGAGTTAATACCTTTAACTCCATAATAACATGTAAATTCAAATAATGTTTTAAAAGATTAAAACCATCGTAATAGGTATCTTTCAAAACAGAATCCATTAACTTTTCATTTTTTAAAAAACATATGTATTCTTAGTAATGTATAACAGTTATTCGGCACTGTTTTGCCCGAGATCAATTTTTTTTTTTATACGATTTTTTGCCCGATATACGATATAGTCATTTTTAATTAGAAAAATAACGTGATACCGGATAATCGTGATTAGGGTGAGACGTCGCCTAATTAATCAAAACTATGTCAGCAACATTTATAATTTTACTATAACTATGGTCCATATGCCTTGAAATAATGAAAGTGGTAAAGGTATTTTATCTATAATAATAAAATACATAATATATTAATTAAATTTGTAAAATAAATGAACCAAATTGCAATATATCATTGGCTAGTAGCAAATCATCTATCTGGTATTTATAATACACTTATTTTTTATTCATTGTTATATAAGCATAATAATAAAGATATTTATATAATAAACTAAAGCCTTACCGCACCATGGAAAAAAATTTAATAATAATTTAAATTGTGCAACATTGAAATGCGTGACGTGTCTGCGCCAATTTATTATAGAAAAAATAATTTGATTGGCTATCATGGTCATGTGCATAAATCCATCTTGTGGTGTCCTTCAAATCTATAAATTTCTCAATGTTTAAGAACTGAAAAAAATATAGAAGAATAACAAAAAAAAAAAGCTCATTAAATATACGATGTGATATGCTGCGGTCAATTGCATCGTCTCGGTTCTTATGGGAAATTTATTTACTTTTAAATATCTTATTCCGGCTCTTAATAGACCGAAATTTTTTCTGAAATTTTAAAATTCTTTTTTTAAACCGAAAAAAATTTCCTTAATTGTTTTTTTTTATTTTAAATTAAAAAAAAAAAAATGATTTTAATTAATTTTAATTTTTTAAAATTTTATTTTTCAGTTTTTAAAGTTCAATTTTTTCATTATTATTGTGTACCCCGGGTATAGGTTATTATCCCTTTTTTCTTAAATATGATTGGCTCAAAATGTGAAATTATTAGCCACAAAAATTAATTGGGTGTTTTTATTATTTCCTTAAGAAAATACCGTTCGCGTAAAAAAATAAACATTATTATAATTATTTACAAGTTATAATAAAAAAAATTTACACTTTTAATATTTTAAATATTTTAACAACTAAAATAAAAATGCTTTATTTATTTAATTTAATATACAGTATACATAAAAATTTTTCAAACTAAAACACAATTATCTATCCATAAATATAAACCTATTCTAAATTACCTGACAAAGCCCAGTATTTTCTAGCTAAAGTGCTTAAATTATTGTGTAAATAAAAATACATAAATAATTTATTTTTCATATACAAGTAAGTATTAGCTTTACTTGAATTGATTTAAAATAATAAATCGTTTTTTTTTTTTAAAAAAAAAAANGATTGGCTCAAAATGTGAAATTATTAGCCACAAAAATTAATTGGGTGTTTTTATTATTTCCTTAAGAAAATACCGTTCGCGTAAAAAAATAAACATTATTATAATTATTTACAAGTTATAATAAAAAAAATTTACACTTTTAATATTTTAAATATTTTAACAACTAAAATAAAAATGCTTTATTTATTTAATTTAATATACAGTATACATAAAAATTTTTCAAACTAAAACACAATTATCTATCCATAAATATAAACCTATTCTAAATTACCTGACAAAGCCCAGTATTTTCTAGCTAAAGTGCTTAAATTATTGTGTAAATAAAAATACATAAATAATTTATTTTTCATATACAAGTAAGTATTAGCTTTACTTGAATTGATTTAAAATAATAAATCGTTTTTTTTTTTTAAAAAAAAAATTAAAATCTTACAATAAATAATTATCTAAAATTATATACACATTAATTTTTTTAAATAACCCAATTTTTTTTTTCTTAAATATTTGAATTTTTTTTTGTTCATCAATCATATCATAAAAAAAAATATTATTAATATTATCTAACTAGTGTACATTTGGATCTATGAGTTTTAATATTTGCTGAAAATAACTTTGAAACTTACTGATAAAGTTTTGGTAATTAGATCAGTATAATACAATAGATAGATATAAAAAAATATTTCTAGGATTTTTTTTATAATAAATTATGAATAGATATACTGAATTTTTTTTGGTATAAATATATTTTGAGATTTTTTTTAACAATAGAGTCAATAGATCGATATGGAAGGTTGGTAAAAAAAATAATAGGTTGGTAAAAATAAGTTTTCTATCAGAATATAATAGATGGAAAATTCTCTGTATTTTTTTTTAATAATAGATTTGTATAAAAAAATTTCTGAGTTATTGAAATTTAAAAACTTGGATTTTCTAGACGGATTTTTAATTAGTTTACATCACAACGCGTCATAATGTTTAACAGGCAAAAGTTGACATATATTAATAATATTTAAATACATAAAAGTAACTCTATTACTTAAATTCTTAGCTAAAAGTCACTTTGGGTTATTAACTTTTCCGGCTAGTTTAAGTACTTTTATTTTGTTATACAAAATTACAACGTAAAATAAAATAAAACAAACATCGGATGAAAATTCTAACCGATCATTTGTGACTTCCGTCTACTTAGATTCAGCATATACAGTACTTGCCAGTTGCCACCCATATTAATGAGATTTGGATTCCATCACATTACTACGGTCCTAGGAGACAAGGACCGACAGATTACATATCAAAGCTTTCATACTTTGATATTTTGTAATATCAATCTTATTCGATTCCTTATTGATATTTTAAAAAAATTAAAGTACGAGAAATAAATTACTTTGTGCTACATAATCGAATAGTTTTAACCGTTACAATACAGTCAAATCTCGATATACCGAACCCACGGTTTGGGAGTAAAAGTTCGGTATATAGTAAAGTTTGGTAAAGAAAATTTTTTTATTTACCGAGCCCTAAGTTTTTTTTAGGGAAAGTTCGTTATAACGAGAAAATCACGTGATTAATATCTCAATTTCGCCCAAAATTAAGATTTGTCATCAATTAATTTATGCAAAATTAAGTGGTTCTAATTTAATTGATTTCAGGCGAAATTGGAAAATCATGTGACTAAGTTCGATCAAAATTTTTTTTTATTATGTTTATAATAAGCGGTAAAGCACGTGGAATTAAAAATAAAAATAAAAATAAAAATAAATAATAAGCGGTAAATCAATAGAAGTTCGGTATACGTTATATAAAATTTATATGATGTTCGGTATATCAAGATGTTATTAAATACTATGAAACTGGTTTTTTAAAAAAAGTTCGGTAAGTCGAGAGTGTGAATTCTTTACATCGAGATCAGACTGTAGTTATCTGATATATACAGTATATATATGTTGTGCGTCAAATCAAAATGAGCGTAAATTTAAAATTGAGTTACGTCAGAATCGTCAGATGGATCATTTGTGCGTCAAATTGAAATGCAGACTTTAGAATTTACAATATTATCATTGTATTTTAGAAATTATTTCATAAACTATCTAATACTGCTCTAATCTTATTCCAAGTTTATTTTTGACCCATGCTGAGTAATCATGGAATATATTTACAAAATTCATCATACATGTTTTCTAATACAGTTTAGTTATTTGTAGGTTAAGAACTTCCTTTATTTTTTGCAGTTTTTTTCTGATTAATCAAATCTTTTTCTTTCTCATTTGGCTCCAAGTTTTCAATAATTCTTCAGTTTTAATACAAAGAAAAAAAAAATGAAAAAAAATACCGAAACTTTTTAATTACTAATAAAATATTCTTTTATTTTAATACTAATATAAATAACTGAAACTATTTTATCATGATTATTACATTTTTTATGCATTTCAATTATTGATGCACAAATGATAAATTGATCAGACATCAAATTTCCATCTGACGTAACTCTTTTTTAAATTTACGCTCTGAATGCACAACATATATATATTTATATAATAAATGTTGTACCGACGCCGGCCTATATTATCGGCCCGATATTGCCAAATATTATAATGCCTTAATTAGGTTGACCAGCATTACTAGGCCTGACGCACAGCTGACGCAAATCGGCATCTCACAACATCAACCCATTTATACATTAAATCCAATCCGTCCTCGTTACGTCCCGTGACGTTGCACAAATTTCAAAAAGGAGAATTGTTGCTTTGCCGATCGCATTATTTCTGGTCAGTCGTAAGAAAAATTTGGGATGGGATTCCCATCCCATTTATTTGGGCGGCAAGTATAATCCAGCACTATTCAGTGGGCCGATCATCAACAATAGCAGAAAGTTTATGCAGGGTCTTCTACATTTTGAGAAATGTTTGCTACATTTACAAAAACTTACAAAATTCAGAAGAAATTCGAATATGAATAGAGTAATATGATTTACGAGTATTTACTCGTGCGCATATTTAAGATAACAAAAATTTGTATCGATTATATAAAAATGGATAACAATAAATATTTGTATCGATTATATAAAAATTGTACTGTATATTTAATGTCCTTTAATTATTACTCTATACATTGAATATTTTTATTAAATAAAAAAAGAAAAGAAAATTAATATACATTATAAGTTTTGATACAGCAATATTTAAAAATGTCATAACTACTTAACGATCTTAATTTTTTATAATTTTAATTTCTAGGGATCTTAATTTTTTATAATTTTAATTTCTAGGTTTAATTTTAATTTCAAGTCCTTGAACAATATTAATAAAATCATAATTATAATTAAATGGTGAAACTTTGTCCACCAATTCTATATCATAATTCCTGTATAATAAAGCTATTAAAGTTTTCACTTCAGCCAAAGCCATCTTCTTTCCTGGGCATTCACGTGCACCACCTCCAAATTGATAGTAACTACTGTACATTTTAGTGTCAGATTTATTTAACCATCGATCTGGATTGAACGTATCAGGATCAGTCCAGTAGTCGGGTGATCGATGAATTCTTTCTACGTCAATAAAAAATTGTGTTTTGGCCGGGAATTTGTATCCCGCAATTTCATTCGGTTCCGCGTTAGTACGTAAATTAACTGGTATAGTAGGGAATAAACGGGAAGCTAAATTTATATAATATAAAAGATTAATAAGAATTTATTACCGTCTTATAACAACAATAAATACTATAAAATTACAATAGATTACAATAGATTACAAACCTTCTTTGAAGATAGCGTCAGTATATTCGAGTTTAATTACTTGATCAATAGTGATGTTACTATCACGATCACTTCCCAATACATCATCCAATTCTTGTACCATACGTTTCTGTACTTTAGGATTATGACCTAAATAATAAACGATGGCAGATAATGTAATTACAGTTGTAAGAGTTCCACCTAAAAGAAGATCCATAATAGTAGCTCTAATATCATCATCACTAATTTTCTCATTAGCGGTTAAGAATTTAGTTAAAAGATCATTACTATCGATTTTTTCATTTGATTTTACGATTTGAGTTCTTCGCTCTTCAATAATTTTTAAGAGATTCGTACTCGCCCCAGTCTTGTTACTCAACAAACGATTTCTTGTTTCACGCATTCCTGGAGAATTCCTTAATAATTTTGGAGTGAGCAAAAAGAAATGAGCTCCTTCAAATGCTGTTTTAAAGATTTCGATATAAGAATGCGATTTTGGAATAGTTCCTTCAGGTTCCACAACTTTATTTTGTGGATTTATCGCATTATAATAATTAGTAAGCGCATGTGCTCTCAATTTAGTCATCAAAAATAAAGTATTTTCAAATATAAATCGAGATAACCATCCAGTAAAATCAATTTCTTTAACATCACCATCATTACTATCTACTCGTTTCCATAATTTTTCCATTTCCTGAAATAAAGTTTGAGTAAATTCGACCGTTTCTTTGGAAGATTGAGGTGTAGCAATAGTTTTTTGTAAGAATCGACGATGAGTTGACCAATTATCATAATCACTATTAAGAAGGATTCCTTTATTGCTCATGCCATATTCGTCCAGGCCATCATTTGAATGTACTCTCAATGGGGAATTTAACAATTTTCCGGCCATTTCTGATCGGCATACACATACAACTCTCCTGGTTCCCAAATAAAATTCAAATATATCGCCATAAATTAATCGTAATGCTTCTACAAATTTTCCGGCATCTCCAGTATATTGTAATACATTACCAATAATTGGTAAAGGAATTGGACCAGGTAATGGACTTTGTCGAGTAAAATAACGATAATAAAATAAACCGACGTAAGTTGCCAATCCAATTATGAATAATAAAAAATAATTCATAGTGGAAGTTTCAAAAGATAAAAGTGATTTTAAGAACATGTTTTATTAAATATGATTGAAAGTACGAATAATGAAAAAAGAAAAGTGTTTTGACTTTGTATATATATAAGAAAAAAAAATCGAGACTCTTTTATCGAACGAATTGATCAAAATATTTACGGAATTTTACTCCATTTATGTTTAATTACTTTTCGTTAATTCATACAATAACAATATCTAAAAATATTCACATGCAGCCTTACAAATATCTCATTTACATAACAGATAAGTGATTATCAATTTTTATTACTAATAGGTAAGATCACACCATATTTTTTTACGGATTTGTTGATCGGGAAAACACGTTATAAACCCGGTTAATTTATCCGGTTTAATCCGATTTATCCGATCAATTTATTTGGTTGAAATTTAATTGGTCACTATAAAAATTAGCCAATTACTGGATCAACTTATATCCGTCTTATTCCGTAAGAATTATGTTACGATTATAATTATGAGACGTTAATCTTTTTTATTTTTTTGTTATTTTATTTACACTATGACTAACCATTTGTAGGCTGTCAACCAGCGGTATAATTACATACAATTACATAGTAGAAAACAGACTAACTAACATCGGGAAATTTTTATAGGAGATATTCATCGATAATTATCACTTTATCAATAATTATCCCATTTTATCATACCGAATAAATCGATAATTAACGTATTATGATGATTATCGATAAATAACTGGAAAAATATAACGATATTTAACATTAATGTTATTTATTGATAATTATCTGAAAGATATTTAATGGTATTAAGTGTTAAAAATTTTATCGATAAATTTCTGCAAGTTATTTAATGTTAATGATATTTGGGGTCTTTGCAATAGAAATGTACGAAACTCAAAAAATATTAAAAATTAAATTAATATTAAATTTGCATTTATTTCAATAAAAAAAACATAATTAGCATATAAAGTAAAATTTAAATTTTTTTTGAATTTCGTACCTTTCTATTGCAAAGACCCCCCATTTATTGATAATTATCTGAAAGATAAATAATGATATTAAATGCATGTTAATAAACTTCTGTAGTGATAATTTTCGTTTATGATTTTATTAAAAAAAAATATTAAAAGGTCCTTTTATCTAACAATCACGTGCATCATATCATGTGACATGACTTTCAACTCCTAAGACGCTAAGACACGACGCGATAAGTTTTTTTTTTAAACTTTTTTTTTTTAAAGTTTAATTAAACATTTCTTTCGCCCTTTCCCATTCACCCTCTTCTACCCTTCTTTTTCCTTCTCCCTCTAACCTGTCTCTCTTTCACACTTTCCCTTTCACCACTTCACCCCATTTTACGCTTTTCCTCTTCTTTTTTTTTTCGTTTTTACCTTTTGTTTAATTTCATTTTTTTCCATTTTTTTCATTTTTGGCTCACTTCTGTTTTTACCTTTCCCTTTTTTCGTTCCGTTTAGTCCCCTCTTCTTCTTCCTCTCTTTCAACCTTCCCTTTAATTTAAACACTTTTCTTAAAAAATTATAATTTTTTTTTAAGTTACGTTTTTGTTTTAGTTACTTCTATCTATAATATGTACTAACATATCCACTGAATCTAAATATATTGGTACATATCTTCTCCATTACTTCGTCATAGTAGTATCAAGGAAAATTCTTGGAAATTTTCCTTGACAAACGTAACTTAATAAAAAACTGAACGTAAAAAAGGGAAATATATATAGCGATCTTTTTAAGTATTATGTATATTACATCAGTGATCATCGTGATATATTTTTCCTTTTCACTGATTAAAGTTATTTTAAACTTTATAAAAGTTTAAAATAAACTCTTTCATCTTTAACTCGTCCTTTTACCCTTCCTCTTCCTCTTCATTCTCGCCTTTCCCTTTCTCTAACCCATTCTTCTCTCACCCTTTCCCTTTTTCACCCTTCTTTGCTTCAGTTTAACTTTCGAAGGGCAATTTATAATAATCTATCATAAGAAAAATTTTTAAATAAAAATGAATTCTTTATATATCTGGAAAAAAAAAATTTAATTTCTCCTTTAACAATGCGTGACTAATTAAGATGTTAGCAACGCGTAAGTTTTGCCAGGTTTCCTTGCAAAATTTATTTATTTTTTTATTAGAACGTAACTTAAGTTTTTTATAAAAAACGTTATCAACGTTTCTTTTATAGGTTTAAGTGTTTTGTCAAAACTTGAAATGGTAAGTTTCGCGGAACAATTTTTTTTATTTTTATTTTTTTTTGTAGGAAACATTATCTAATGTTTCTCTTTTTTTTTTGTAGATTTAAGTGTTTCAGTTTGGAAACTTCAGAACGTTGAATTTTGAAATGGTAAGTTTCGCAACAAAATGTTGCGAAACAATTTTTTTTTATTTTATTTTTTTCTAATAGTAAGAAACATTATACTAACGTTTCTTCTTTTATTCTTTTGTAGTAGGGATTGGAATCGATTTTACAATAATCGAATTTATCGAAAATCGATAAGAATCGATTTTAAATCGATTATCGAATAAAAATCAAATTTACTTATTGTGATGCAGTAGCGTTAATAAGATTTCCCCTGCGTACCCTACAAGTATTAGTTTTATTTCAGTTGACAAAAACCACATTATTTGTCATATAGTTAATTTCTTAATTTCTTAATGCCGGCCGTTTCGTGACATTTTGGACTAGTCCGTTAATAAGAAGTTAGATTTACCCCAGTATCACCGACACTTTTATAATTAAAATTCCACCCCCACGTGACCAGTGACATTTAAAGGGATGTGAAAAAAATAATTTTGTGAGGCAAAAAAAAACTAAGTCCCTCAGATAAATATAAACAGTGAAAACGCAGTGGGGTGTGATGCCAGTGATGAATATTACAAAATCACGTAGGGGTGGAAAAAGTGTCGGTGATACTGGGAAAGATAAGAAGTTAGGTCGCTGTTACGTGACATTAACAAAAATCCAAAAAAAGGAAATTTTGTTGTCCAATGAAATTCAAGTTATGTTGTACAAAATTCCAAAAAAGGAAATTTTTTATATCGATCTTAATAAATTTAATAGTCACATGACCGGTAGTAGTATAATTTTGATTAACGATTAATCGATGATTAATCGATTCTAAAATCGATTCTAATAATGATAATCGATTCCAATCCCTATTTTGTAGGCACTCTCCAGATTCCTTCTGACCAGTTACTACACGATTAGATTTTGAAGTTTCATTTTGAAACTTCAAAACTTTTTTTTTAATTTTTTAAAAAAATGGTATATTTCTTTATTTATTTTTGTAAGTTTCCTTTAGCTTTCAATTCTGGGTTGGAATGCCAGGTAGGCTTTGAAGAAGCTATCTTTTTGGTTTTCTAAAAACGTTTTATCAATATTTCTTTATTCTTTTTTGTAGATGCCTCCTTCTGACTTCAATCTTGGATTGTTATTACAGGGTGATTTCAAAATATGATTTGGTAAAGACTTTAAAATATTTTTTTTTTGCTTTGTAAAGGAATGTTTTTAACGTTCTTTATTATTATTTTTTTGTAGGTTCGGTCTAGTGTTCAATTCTTTTTTTTAAATTTTTCTTTTTTAAAGAAACATACTGTTTCTTTATTCATTTTGTAGAATCTCCAGCCTTAATGGATAACGGTAGGTTTTGAAGTATAACTTCAGAACTTGTTTTACCTTTTCGTAACTGGTAAGTTTCTTAACTTACCTCTTTTCATTTTTCAAAAATGTTTAACATTTCTTTTCTTTTTTTCTTGTAGGCTCTAAGACTATTTGGATACTGGATATTGAAATGGTAAGTTTTTTTGTGAAACTTTAATTAATTTATTTCATATTTAATTAGAAACGTTTATTAATGTTTTTTTTTATTTTCTTTTTTGTAGATTTTACTTGGTTCTGGATGCTGAAAACACCAAAATATGAGTTCGCAACAGGAAAACTTTGATTTTTTATATTTAATATTTTAATAAAAATGTAAACTTCACTTGTAGGTTAGATTTGATTAGATTAGTATATATTTAGTATGGATTTAAAAATGTATCATTTGTTATTGAATAATGCAATAAATAAAATAATCTAATTTA